TGTGTGTGTGTATATATATGTATATCTATATGAGATAGCAAATCTTTGTCTTATGGTCAGGAATGGCTTACATTACATTAATTTGGTAATGAATTAATGTAAACTGAACTGATAAAAATCCATGTAAAATATGCGTTTTTTTCCCAAGAATCTATAGGTGGGCTTTTTACTAACTAAAATTAAGCAAAAAAAGCCCAGGATCCGTTTCTCTAATTGTATGTTGAGAACATTAATTTAATCTGAGAGCTGATTTACCTTGGATTCAGATCCTGCTAAGTACACAACTGAAATAAAAGGCAAGAGAAAGGTGCATTATGAATACATTTTTATAAATGTAGGTTGTTTTTATGTGTAATTGTTCATACTGTGAGAGCGGTCTTCTAATGTATGTAAATTTTTCCTGTTAGTGAAAACATGCAAAGATTTAGCATCTGTGTGAAGTTCATTGCCTTCAGGTTTTTAAAGAAATAGTCCAGTCATCTTAAAAATCTAAATAATTGTGGATGCTTATCCTTGGTTGTTGTCTTTATTTTGTCCTCCTTTCTTTCAAAGGAATTTAGTGGCTATGTGCAACAAATTAAATATGGTGTGGATAGGATTGAGTCAACCATGCCAAGAGTGTATCAGCTGGCAGCTGGCGGGACTGCAGTTGGTACAGGATTAAACACGAGAATTGGCTTTGCTGAGAAAGTTGCTGCTAAAGTGGCTGAACTGACAGGTGAGAAATGGTATTTCAGAGTTATCAGTAAAGTGGTACAGGTAACATACAGTCAAGTTCAAACTACATCTTTTGGTTTCCATACTTCTCATAAGCTCATATTGTATTTGTATTTTAACAGGAAGCTTTCTGTTAATGCCATATGTTATATGCCTTACATTTAAGATATTTTATAGAATGTATGTTTATAATTATACTCAGTGCATAGAAAGTGACTGAAATTACTGTGTTTTTCTGAGCAGGGGTTATTGGAGGGGGATACAGTTTCAGGATTCTATTATTAGCCTGGCTATAATACTTCTGTCTTGATCTCTGCTCCTCCGGCTCTCTTAATCTACAGTGACTTGCAAAAGAAGGGAAAAAAAACCCTCCCAAAGACACTGTGTTTTTTCATGTGAAAGTTAGCTGTCTGATTTTTTTTTTTATGCTGTCTTTCTAGTTTTTAAAACTTAATTTTACAGAGCCATTGAGTTTTTTGATGTGTAAAACAGTTCTTCTGTGTCACAGTATCAGTTTTTAAAATGCCCCCCAAATTAATTCGTATGTCTTTCATTTAAGTTTGCTCTAAAATCTGAAACTGCTTATCAGGAGTATTTTTGTTTTAATGGATCTGTTATTCACTGTCTTGTGGAGGGTTAAGACTTCCTTGTACCCTGAGAGGGAAGAAGTAACTTGTCATAAACAATAGCTTCTGAGAAGCATTCCAGGCCTTGTTCTGGCGCTTGGAGAAGCCACTGGTGGTGTTAGGAAGCTCTCCCATCTTTGGCAATGGCACAATGGAAAGTTTGGAATGATCTCTGCAACTGAGAAGACAGCTAAGCAATTCAGAAGCCCATGCGAATTGGCTGGGATTTGGTGTTTGGCAGGAGCTGCAAAACACAGTAGAAATGCAGCTGTTTCTCTAGAGCTTTAAATGAAAGCAGCTGTTAATGTTACTCTTGTTTAAACTGGCAGTGTAAGCTCAGACCAGTACTTCTGTGGCGCAGAAGTGCAGCCCACTGTCAGCATCCCTGTGCACATCCTTAGTGGTACCACTAGTAAAATTCTGCTGACACTTTTCTTCCAGGGCAAAGCACTCAAGAGGTGTTTTTCATTATGGAACCTAGCCTCAAATCTCAGGCATTTAATTAGTGTAAACAGAGCTGTTGCTTCCACTGCTCCTGTGCTCTTGCCGTTGGCAGCAGTTTCAGGCATCCTCCTAAGTCTGAATCGGCTTTCAAGTGTTCTGTCTGGTTTGTTTTTCCCTTCCAGTGGTGATACTTGGGTGCATCTTTTTTCTTTTTAAGTAGCTAATTCCATTGTGATTACTTTTTATTTATCCCAACATCCGCACTGTGCTGCAAAATTCTCTGTTTCCATAACTGCAAGGAAGCATCCCAGCAACTGACAATCTGAAGAATCTAACTTGCTTTCATGGAAAAGATACATAAGTTTGGGCTACCTTGTAAGAGATTTTTGACATTCATAAAGTACTGTGGTGCAAAGCAATGCTTATTAGCACCTTCCAACTCATACCAGTCTATGATGATTCTATGAAAGCTTGAAATTTGTACCTTTCTTGTTCGTAGATGCTCAAATTTCATAGTCTTCTGTATTTTGGTGACTTTTATTGTGTCTTTTGTATGCAGTATGTTTAAGAAATAGGTTTGCGAGGAAAGGTCTAGAGAAGAGATGAACTTACAGTGTTATTAATACATTTTTTTTATTAAATTATTTATGTGTTTGATTATGTGATTTATGTCTTCAAGGAAGCACCTCATAGGTTTAATATTTCCTGCCCTCCCTGTAGGTTTGCCTTTTGTCACTGCTCCAAATAAGTTTGAAGCTCTTGCGGCTCACGATGCTCTGGTTGAACTCAGTGGAGCTATGAACACAGTGGCATGCAGTCTGATGAAAATAGCTAATGACATTCGTTTCCTGGGTTCCGGACCACGCTCTGGCCTAGGAGAACTCATCCTGCCTGAAAATGAACCAGGAAGCAGCATCATGCCAGGTACAGAGAAAAAATCTAGAATCATTGCCTGTTTCTTTTCATTTGGACCACTAACTCTTAACTGATACTTACCAACCACCACCACAAATGTCAGTAAGTCCATGATTAAACACTTTTGTCAGTTTTTATCTTCTGCCATACTTTGCCAAAATTTGTGTTCATAAAAATACTTGTTTGCACAGCTGTGTCTTGGCAAGTATGTGGCAGACAGTAGTATCTATAAACCTGTGACTTTCTTAATACAGGCATATCTCTCAAAACTTTGTTTTAGCATTGCAAGATCTCTACAATTTTATGCAAAGCCTTTCTGAAACAAGCTTTAAATGATCTAATTTATGAATCTTAGCAATAGAGTGATGTAAATTGACTTCTGTCTTTACTTCCCAGTATGATTAGTGTTATGTACTTACATACTCCCTTCTGCAATGTTCCCATTGTAAGGGAGGATAAGAAAGGAAGGAATAATCATAGTAATCATTCCTTACCCCTCTCATAAAAAAATATGTGTATGTGAATATTGTACATCCAAAACTATTCTAAGCATGTTCTTCCTGTATGATAAATTATAAAAGAAATAGGTCATGAGCGTATCTGGTGTTCAAAAAAAAGCAGATAATGAATGTTCTTATCAGGATTATTTCCAGAAATTAAAGCAGCCATAAAACCTTCTTGTTAGGAGGCCACTCTAATTTGTTTTGATTTTGGTGGGTTTTTTCCTTGACAAAGTAAACAGAGTGTATTACGTTTATTACAAAGTAATTCTAACAAATTAGTAATACTTTTCTTAAATTGATTGAGATTTTGTTGTGATTTCCCAGAAATACCTACTTAAACAAATAAAGACAGGTTATAATCTCTTGGCTATTAAGAACTGTGGTAATTAACAGCTGCGAAGCTCATGCACATTTGATCCAGCTCTCAAAGCCTTGGTAGATTGCCAGAGCAGCCGTAGCTGCTTTAAAAATCCTAGCTGAATTACTGGAATAGTACAGTGAATTTAATATCATTTATAGAAATTATTGCTTTTCTGTGGTGCACAGACACAGATGAGTAAGACATGTTACCTCCTACAAAACATCTTTTGTTGAATGTGATTTGGTAAATGAGGGAAGTACTGATTTTTATTTTATTTTATTTCTTCTTTGGTAACCTTTTTCTCTCCCTTCCCCAACCAGGAAAAGTGAACCCTACCCAGTGTGAAGCTGTAACCATGGTGGCAGCCCAAGTGATGGGAAACCATGTTGCTGTTACTGTAGGAGGTAGTAATGGACACTTTGAACTGAATGTTTTTAAGCCCATGATGGTAAGTTCATAGAGTTTGAAATATCCAGGACTTTTTCAATCATTGTACAATCAGCTAACTCATGGAGGGGAAAAAAACCTCAGTGAATATTTGGTCAATACAAAGAGTTTTTAAATCATTGCTTGTACAATCAGCGAACTCATGGGGGGGAAAAAACCTCAGTGAATATTTGGTCAATACAAGCACCGGAGAAGCTAAGTTGTGAAAACAAATTTTATTCTTTCATATGGTACGTCCTTGTTACTTTGACAGGGAACTAGCAATCTTCTTCATGTGAAACTGTCTTATGCAGGTAAGTTTTTATCTTAACAATGTATTCTTATCATCAGTCTAAGGAAGTAGGGAGAGAGGAACACAAACTGAGACAAAATTTTGCCCAAAGCCAAAGAGAATTTGGTATTTTACTGAAAATTAGGATTTTTTTTCTTTAGCAACTGTTACTGCTGAATACCAGCGGATTACATGCTTTTGGCAAGTGAGTAATGTAAAATTGTAAATTATTATTCTTGGACTTCAGTATTTAAAATAATGACTGTCTTCTACAGTGTGAGCAGGATACAGCAAGATACATACTGCTGCTTCTGTATATTTAATTTAAAAAGTCAAGTTAATTGAGTGTTACAAATCAGCTTGTAATGAAATTTGTATGTTTTGATACCAAGTCATAATTCTTATTTTCTTCTTTGGGCTATCTACTATTATTTCTTTTTTCTTAAAACCAAGGAGGAAAAATGAACAGAGGAGAAACTGAGGAAAAGAATATAAACAAAAGCATCAAATCAGAAGACTGTGGAGAACTGTATAAAATATTGAAGGAATAGCATAGAGGTTAGGATAGAGATGATAGTTTAAAAAGAATTAAGGTGACTTGCAGAAAAGATCCTAATACTAAATAGAAATAAAAGGAAAGTTTTCGAGTTTTTGTTGTCTTGTTAAAAACAAGAGGCACAAAGGAAGCAGCATATCATATGCTATGTTTCTGCACAGCCTATATTGGCTGATACTGCTTTTTCATTATGCTAGTTAAAAATGATTGAAAGAAAATTGAAATTTTATAATAAAATCAGTATTTGTCTCTTCCTTACTGTGTCTGCTTAGGGTAATGTTTTTTTTTCTGCACCTGCAATGTTTTTTATAGCACCTGGTTTTGAAGAGGAAAAAAATAAAATCATATTGAACAGCCAAGAGATGTACCTAGTACAAGATAAATTTTGATAGAAACAGACACCTCTCCAAAAAAAGCGGCATGTTGTGGATTGTCAGAGTAGAGGACTAATGCCAGACATTATTGTACTTCGTATTTTCAGGTGTCTTCTCTTGACTGGTACCTGAGGGGGAAAATGACAATCAAATGCCTTCATGGCATGACCATGAGCCAGCACTGTGCCCTTGTGGCCAGGAAGGCCAATGGCATCCTGGGGTGCATTAGAAGGGGTGTGGTTAGTAGGTCAAGAGAGGTTCTCCTCCCCCTCTACTCTGCCCTGGTGAGGCCGCATCTGGAGTATTGTGTCCAGTTCTGGGCCCCACAGTTCAAGAAGGACAGGGAACTGCTTGAGAGAGTCCAGCACAGAGCCACCAAGATGATGAAGGGAGTGGAGCATCTCCCTTCTGAGGAAAGGCTGAGGGAGCTGGGTCTCTTTAGCTTGGAGAAGAGGAGACTGAGGGGAGACCTCATTAATGTTTATAAATATGTTAAGGGCGAATGTCAGGAGGATGGAGCCAGGCTCTTCTCAGTGATGCCCAATGATAGGACAAGGGGCAATGGGTGTGAGCTGGAACAGAGGAGGTTCCGCTTAAGCTTGAGAAGAAACTTCTTTATGGTGAGGGTGACGGAGCACTGGGACAGGCTGCCCAGGGAGGTTGTGGAGTCTCCTTCTCTGGAGACATTCAAAACCCGCCTGGACGCCTTCCTGTGTGATCTCATTTAGGTTCCTGCTCCGGCAGGGGGATTGGACCAGATGATCTTTCGAGGTCCCTTCCAATCCCCAACATTCTGTGATTCTGTGATGTATTTTTTACTTGGTCATTTGTGAACTGCTCTAACAATGTCTGTACATGCTGTGCTCTCCTTTATGCCAGAGTTCTTCTGCCAGTTGTGCAGCTATTAACATCTGACTGTAATAGCTGATTTATTTTTTTTTCTTTGCTAGATTAAAAATGTTTTAAACTCTGCAAGACTTCTTGGAGATGTTTGTGTTTCTTTCACTGACAACTGTGTAGTTGGAATCCAAGCCAATACAGACAGGATCAACAAACTCATGAGTGAATCTCTGATGTTGGTAACGGCTCTTAACCCGCACATAGGTAGGCCTAAGGCTCAGAAACTTCTCAAAAAATTATACTGAATTATTTTGCAGTAATATTGTTTTGCACACATTATTTGTATTGTTACCATGTTTAGGAGACCAAGCCATGGGTCAGACCAAAAGTTAATTTACTTTAATGTCACCAATTAGTATTACTGGTGAAGATAATGTGTCCTCCTTGCAGTGGCCATACCAGTGCATGACAAAAATAATTCTGATGAGAGTCAAAAAAAAAAGAGATTGGGAGGATTTGTGTATCTGTTCTGATTAGACCACTAATAATGATGAAAAGTGAAAGATTCCAGTAGGAGATTTTTTTTAAAGGAGAAAGTGACATAAAACTTTGATCTAAATGCATTAAGATCAGAATAACAGAATTTATTATCACTCCAAGTAAGGAGTTGGTGTAAATATTTGGTGTGCATTTACTGCAAATTGACTTAAGCATTAGTAGCAATACCTGGCAAATTAATTCTCCAGAGGGCAATTGTCCCACTTTTTCTCACCCCTAACAAACCTTTGGGAACTGCAGCCGGCTGACGCGTCTGTGTTGTTTTGTTGCAGGCTACGATAAAGCCGCCAAGATTGCCAAAACGGCGCACAAGGAAGGGACGACCCTGAAGGAGGCGGCCATCAAGCTGGGGTTCCTCACCTCCGACCAGTTCGATCAGTGGGTGAAGCCTACAGACATGTTGGGTCCTCAGTAACTTCTGTACAGAGAAGTGCTCTTACCATAACAACGCATACAATAAAAGAAATGCGACATGCTCTTGTTTCAGTTCCCATGTTTCCATGTTACAGACCAGAGGAACTGACGGCATTTTACCCACGTTACAGAAAACTGCCAAAATGTCAGTATCGATGTAACTTAAAAGGTACTTTTCTCGGAGGCGACGGCGCTTCTGAGCGGCCCGCACAGG